CCAGAGGCCTCTTCATTGAAGGGGCCTGCAGAACACAAAGGTTGTTAGTGAAAGCCACTAGGCTCCTAGGATTCACACTAGTCAGACCATGAATGGAAATGAGATTGTATCTAAATGAGGGTACAAACATTACTTTATGCAAAGTGATATCAGGCACAAGAGTTACACTACCAATTTCAGTTACTTTCACTTTGTATCCATTTGGTAAAACAACTAAGAGAGGATAAGGTAATGTTATAATGTTGGTCAGTAAGGTTTTATTGAAAGTCCCCCTGAGTCCAGAATCCAAGACTCAGCCTTGTTTTTGAGACACTGACATGACAATTTACCAAAATCTATAGAGGAAGTGCAGACTATTATACCTGCAAAGTTCACAGCTCCATTGATAGAATTGTTGACAGTTGCATTGTCTCCTCCATTACCAGATTGAAAGTGTTGAAGCAAATTCAGAATTTGTCCGTAATGCTCCTTTGACAGGCTGATGTTTTGGTCTGTGTTCAAGTCACTTTGTTCTTCTCCTTTGTTATTCAGAAGAATGATCTCCATGCACATTGGCACTATTCTCTTTCCTTTATTAAAGTTCTGGTTGCGATTAAAACCCTGGTTCTGGTTGAATTGTTGATTTGGATTGTAATTTTGATTGCGAAGGTATCCAAAATTCTCAGGGTAGCCATGTGGTTTGAAACATTTGTCCTTGGTGTGCCCTGGCTTCTTACAGTAATCACACATAGGTCTCCCCCTTCCTTGTCTAGCATGATTGTTGTTATTAGGTGAATAGTTGGTTCTATAGCCACTAGATCTGGAACTGGTAACATTTATGGAGGTTGATTCAACGAACAGCTGAGTATGTGGTTTGATTTTCCTTTGCTTCTCATCTTGTATTAGGAGAGAAAAGGCTTGAGCAAGATTAGGGAGTGGGTTCATCATGAGGATGCTACCTCGGATCACAGTGTATGTTTCATTTAGCCCCATGAGAAATTGTATTAATCGCCTATCCTGTTCAGCTTTGTAAAAAATTTCCTTTGCTCCACAGGTGCAGTTACATGTGCATTGGGATTTCTTGCTTAAGGTGCTCAACTCTTCCCAGAGCCTCTTCAATTTGGTATAGTAGCTGGTAATGTCAAGAGTTCCCTGAGATGTAGCATTTATTTCCTTTTGTATTTGGTATAATCTGGCTCCATTCGTCTGTTCATACCTGTCTTCCAGCTCGATCCATAACTCCATGGCATCATTTGCCTATTCAACGCTATCTGCTATCTCTTTTGACAGGGAATTAAGGATCCACGAAGTCACCATGTCATCACAACGTTCCCACTGGCGAAATGTGGGTGACTGGGGATTTGGGCGCTTGCATTCGCCATTTATGAACCCTAGCTTGTTCTTCACTGATAGACCTCGCAATACACTGCGCCTCCATGAACGGTAGCCAACGCCACTGAAGGCGACGGAGACAAGCATAGCTCCGGGATTGTCCGATGGGTGCAAATACAAAGGATCACCAGGATCAATTCCGGAATTTCCTGGAACTCCGACATGCACAGCGGTGCTAGTCGCATCGCTCAAATCACCGACGGCCATCGGTAATTAAGATGAGATGTGTGATTATTGTACCTTAGAAGTGAAATCCCCTTCTCCGACGCGAAATTAGGGCAAAAATGAAACTTCTTCCGACGAACAATCGAGTTGAAAGAAAACTTAAAAATGACGGACACAAAGGAGAGAGAAAGTGACAGAGATATAACAGATTGGAACGGCAAGCTCTGATACCATGTCAATTGTCTGAATTAGAAGCTAGCTCGAGCTTTTACAGCTATGGAGGTCACTATGAGAGGGGAGAGAGAGAGAAGATTCTAGAAGAGGGAGAAGAAACAGAAATTAGAAAATAACCCTCAAAACTGTATTAACAACCGGAAATGTAACATATATACATGTCCTAACTAAACAACTGGAAATGAATATCTAATCTAGCCACTTTACAATATACTAACCACTTTACATAATTAACCAATAATCTCAATAAAATCACAATTTGTTTGTACTGCAAGCGAGAAGGGCATGATGTCGAGTCTTGTTTCCAACTGATAGGATATCCAGAGTGGTGGACCAACAAACCTCGCCCCAATACACCTGGGCGTGGTGGAGGTGGAAACCGTGGGACTGGTGGAAGTCGTGACAAGGAGCAAACGCACATGCCAATGTTGTCCAAGCACCTAGAAATGAAGGAGAACAGGGATCCATAATTGATGCTGATAGAAAAGGTTTTACTGGCCTTAGTGATGACTGATGAGCAATGGAACAAGTTGATAGGAATGTTGAGCACACACAAAAGTGACGGTAATGAGAGAATGTTCGGGTAAGAAAAATTTTCTCTCTTGGATTATTGACAGTGGCGCTTCTCACCATATGACTGGAGCATATGCTTGCCTAGAAAAAGTTCGTGATATAGAACTGTGGTCGCTCAGTTTACTCACAAAATTTGTGTTTTACAGGAACTAAATACGAGGAGGCTGATTGAAGCAACTGAACAACTTGAGGGGCTTTACTAGCTCAAAGGAGTGGCGTTGGCTCATGCTTGCAAGACAACGATTGCTGCTTCCTTTGAACTAATAATTGTTGATGATTGCTCTCGTATTTGTTGAATGACAAACGTATGATTGTTTTTGTTCTTAGAAAATTTATAGTGATGATTCAAAGGCAATTTGAGAAAAATATAAAAATTGTTAGAAGTAACAATAGGAGTGAATTTGTGTGCATGAAAAATTATCTTAAAGAACATGAAATTTTGCATCAGACTTCTTGTGTCCCCAACAGAATGGCCGAGTTGAAAGAAAGCATCGCCTTATTCTTAATGTGGCAAGAGCATTACGACTTCAAGAAAGCAGAAAATGTATGTTTGTGGGATACCCATTCAAAAAGAAAGGATGGAGATTGTATGATTTGTGGGATACTCATTATATATGGTTTGCTAAACAGGCTGCTTCATTAAAGGGGTATGGATTCAAACGATCTTGTTCAGATTACTCTTTATTCACATTTCGAGATGGTCCAGTTCAATTAATTATTCTCATCTATGTGGATGATCTCATTATTTCTGGTATTGATAAGACAGCAGTACAAAAATTCAAAGATTATTTGAATAGATGTTTTCATACGAAGGACTTGAGGAAATTGAAATACTTTCTTGGTATTGAAGTGGACGCAATCCAGATAGTATTTTCTTGTGTCAACGTAAGTATGCTTTGGATATTATATCTGAGACTGGTCTGCTTGCGGCTAAACCAGCCAATACTCCTCTTGAATAAAATCACAAGCTAGCTTTAGCTACAGGAGATGACATTGAAGATCCCGGTCAGTTTCGACGACTAGTTGGGCGACTTATTTACTTGACAATTACTAGACCTGATTTGTCATATTGAGCATTTAATTCAATATAATTTTTTTTATAGGTTCGCTTCACAGCTGATGTGGGGGAATTCATACGCAGTCAACCACCTAATGAGTTGGCCGAGGCAATCCAACTTTCGGACGAGGATGCTGAAAGAACACTCCTTGAGTACTTTATATATATACTTTGAACTAGACAATAGAACTAGTTTTCGAATGAGCTTGTAATAAGCGTTAACTTAGTTTTGTTAGCTTAATGTTTTAGTTCTATTGATCTTTATATTTTGTTGCTTTTTAGTGTTGTTGTTGGCATAAAATGCCTGTTTAGGATATTTGGTATAAGCTGGCAGGTGGCGTAGCAGCCAAAACAGGCAGTTTCTGCCAAAAATATACCAAGAAAAGCGACCAACTTTGGTCTCAAGTTGGTCGCTTTTCACTTAAATAAAAATAATTTTCTGGGCAGTAGCGACCAGTCTTGGTCGCTATTCTATTTTAAAAAAATAATTTCTGATAATTTTGCAACGAACGTTGGTCACTTAGACTTAAAAAACTAATTTAGGATTGCTCTGTATCTTTTTACACTATATATATATATATATATAAAAATCTTTATACATATTTAACGAGTTTTCTAATACAAATATGGAATCTATACAGAAGTTACTGGGTGCATCAGTAGCTCCACCCCTGCCGATGACTAGGATCAAATGAATGCTTTGATAGAGATAAATCCAAACAAGTCAAATCGAATAATTCCATAATACAAATCAGAGGATACTTATGCCTTCTTCTAATGAAATTATGCATTGCATGCTTTAGAGGGTAAAAGGGAACACATAAGTACACAATGGTATAATTCAATGAGTGAATGTCAAGTCTAGATAGTATGGACATAATTTTGATACAGGGGCTAACCTATCAGAGTTTCAAGGAAGACTTAAAGATTATCTAAGATGCCAGAAATGTCTAATCTTGTCAACATTAAAGATAATCTTATGAATACACTACTCATACTATAAAATGTCTACTCAGGGCATATCGAAGAGAGATATCGCTACATAAATATCTTCTCAAACGTATGTATAGAGCACTGAAAGGCGAAAAGCTGTAATGTATGTGTACTGTAAGCACCTATAGACGCAAACTGCCGGAAACCAAAGCAGTGAGCCTGGAAAGTGCATAGATGATTGATTTTAGAGAAGGGTCTCTAGAAATGCTAAATTCTATGCATTTCCTTCTTCTCCCCTTCTCATCTAGCAGACTAAAATGCACAACATAGAATACAACATAGCCGTAGAAGAAATGATTCATAACCATTACACAAAAATGTAAGAAGTTCGGTAAGCAGATATGCTGACAAAGAACAACAACCGGCCAGTAAACTCCTCAAATGAAAGCTTTTGTATTGCTACAGCCACCTTGGCAGTCAAGATCAAGGGTATTGAATTTCACCCTTCTCTTGGTACATGTAGCTTTTCAAAATTAACCCACTAAGCTCAAGCATTAATTTCTATATAACACAATAACAAGGAAAACATCAGGCGCTAATCGCAATTCAAGACTAACCAATTCACCCTAATCAATTGAGCTCGAGCATTAACATTTATAACCCAACATCAAGATAAAGGAAGAGCAAATCTCACATTGCAGCCAACTTAAGATGTTTATAGCCAACAAAATCCTCAATACAACGACTAAAAGCAGGTCCAAAACAGAACATAAACCAAAATAAATCTAACAAAATCAATTTCATAAAGAGTATTTTAAACATCTCACAGCCTAAAAGACAAGCTCATGGGGTTTCATGCCCGACTTGAGGGAGAACCTAGCTGACAAATAAGCCTTCAATTCAGGAACACATTCAACGGCCTTGATCAATGATTCATCCACAGCTTTCTGATCATCCTTCTTTTCCTGAGGAAGCACATTCTTCTTCTCCTACAATACACCAACACATACAAAACAGATGAAAAAAACTCATCAAAAACAGTGATCAATCTTTAATCAAACAATAAACAAAAAAGATCCCATCCTTGGGCATATAAACATAAAGATTCATTAAAGGAACAAACAGATTCAATCTTTAAGTACAGAAAGGAGAAATACAAGTAAATAAAAAAATTACTAAAACCAAAAACATGACTCGATATTAAATAATGCAAATAAGAAAATGGTCCAATCTTTAGGCGCAAAATGAACAGTGAGACAGAATCCTTAAGCATATAATAATGAGCATGAAGTACATTCTATAGACTATAAAGCTAATATGAGCAAATAGATTCAATCATCAAAATTATAAAATGAAAAAAAAAATCCATACCTTAAGCATAAAATGAGCAAATAGATTCAAATTATAATTATAAAATGAGCAAAAAGATCCATTTCTTAGGCATATAATGAACATAAAGATCCATTCATTAATCACATAATGAACAAACAGATTCAACATTAAGCAGAAAATGAGTAAAAAAGATTAAAACTTTAAGCTTAAAAATGCAAACAAACCTCTTTCTTGTCTTCAAAGAACTCTCCCTCACCCTTCTTCTGTTTCTTCTCAGCTTGCTTAGCAAAATACTTATCGTCAAACTTCTCAACATTCACACCAGAAATATCCACTTTAGTTGAAGTACCAATAACATAAGCTTGATTCACACGCCTCAAAGGAACACCATTAAGCTTAAATGGTCCACTCACAAGTAAAAGCCCAGATTTAAGCTGTTTCAAAAACACAACTCTCTTACCCTTAAACCTACCAGCAAGGATAATAAGCACAGTTCCAGGTGTAATACTTGCTCTGAGTTTCGTAGGTTTTGGTTTGTGTTTGTTGACAAGGGGTTTTGCCACGTCATCGGCTGGGTAAAATTTGGGTGGTTTGACGGCCGGTGGTGCAGCGGCGGCGGCTTTTTGGTGGACGGGGAAAGAGCCGCCATTTTTCTTCTTGATTGCCCATAGACCCTTTTTGTGGTACATCTTGGAACGGGAAAGTTTTCCCACTCCACGAATCAGCTCTGGATTACGGGGACTCTTCTTTGCGGCCATTGCTGAAAGTTGAAGCTGTCCTTTGCTTTTGCAGTTTGCTGATTCAATAAAACCCTAAACCTAGTAATGCGGTTTTATATATGGAGCAGTGAGGGTTTGTGTGAGAGTGAGTGAGATCTGGGCCTTTTGTTTCTGCATATGGGGCTAAATGGGCTAAGAGACCAATTTCTTATGTGGGCTGAGCTAGATGATTACTCATTCTACGATTTGCTAATAAGTTGACAATTCAATCGAGAAATTTTAGGGAGAAATTCAAAAATAGCCAGATTTACAAGTGGTCATTCAAAAATAGCCATTTTCATGTAAAGATAAATTTGAACGAAAACACTGTTCAAAATTCGTAAAAATACTCCAGTATAGTATACTGAAATTCTAGTAAATATACTGGAACTCCAGTACATTATACTGGAGTTCCAGTATAATATACCGATCCAGCATAATATACTGGAGATTGGAGCACAGGTGCTCCAATCTCCAGTATATTATACTAGAACTTTCTGCGTGTTGGAGTTCCAGCATAATATGCTGGAAGTTCATACACAGGTACACCGATCTCCAGCATATTATGCTGGAACTTTTCCGTGTTGCAGCAAAATAGTGGCTATTTTTTAATTACTTTACAAACGCTGGCTATTTTTGAATCAGTCCAAAAACTGGCTAGCCCGTGTTATTTTTACGAATTTTTAGCCGCTCCCAACACTAATAGACGACAAAAATGTGTGTTTTTTATGAGTATTATATATAAAAAAGCATATTTTTACATTTTTCGGTTAGCAAATATAATTAGTTTCAGTCAACCGGCCAGTTTTAAATTTTGTACAATTCATTTCAATCCTTCAAAAGCGGGTAAAATTCAAAAATAGCCATTTCTGGACTTGTAACTGAAGATAGCCACAAATTCAAAAGTTATTGAAAAATAGTTAGTTATGTTGGATGAAATCCAAGATACTAGCATAGTATTTCACCTTTTTTTAAAGTTCAAATCATGAAAGTATCCTTAATTTTTCACCTTTTAAGTTCAAAATCCATGAAAGTGTGCGTACCAAACAATCCCTCCAGTTTGCTTAGGACTAAGAGCCGTTTGGCTTAGCTGATTTAGAGTAGCTGATAAGCATTATGTACCGAAAAGCAATTTTAAGTGATGGTGCTGATTTAAAAAAATAAGCAGTTACGTGTTTGGATAAAAGTGCTGAAATTAATACTATGCAGCTAAAGAACTAGGTATACGAAGAGTTTTGTTTTAAAAAAGAAGTATTTTAGGGATAGAATAGTAAATATTTTGGTCAAACTTAAAGTGCTTATAAGCTGAAATTTGATAAGTTGGGGGAGACCAACTTATGGCTTTTGACTTTTTTTTGGGTTATAAGCACTTTTAATTTTACCAAACGCGTAGATAAGCCAAAAAGTGTTTATAAGCCAGTTTGACCAGCTTATAAGCTTAGCCAAACACCCTCTAAAATAATCACCACATATTCACTAGCTTATTGAGCAACCGAAGAGTGTCCAAGTACTAGGCAGAAACTCAAGGAAGGAATAGCTTTCCTTTTTCATATTTGAACAATTCTCTATTTAGTTTCTTGACTACTCAAATGGCGCCATTAACTAGAAAATTTAGAAAATTAAAATTTGGGAGTAATAAACTAGCTAAATGGCAGTGTCAGGAGCAATTGTCACACTAAACTAAGCAACTTAACTTTAACAATTACTCCCTCCGTTTCACTTTTAGTTGTCCACTTTAGTCTTTACACTCCCTTTAAGAAAAAATAAATGAAATATATATTTTACGATTTTACCCATAATAATGATATCATTTCCAAAAGTGTTAGGGAAATTGTTTGGAGAATAAGCAGTTAATGATAAGGGTAAAACAGGAAAAAAGATTATCTTTCTTTTGATTTAGTATAACGAACAAGTAAAAGTGAAAATATATTTTTAATATAGTGGACAAGTAAAAGTGAACGGAGGAAGTAATAAATTACATATCACTTAGAGGGTGTTTGGATTGGCTTATTTTAAGTGTTTATTGGCTTTTAAGCACCTTTTTAGTGTGTGTGGTGTTTGGCAATGATAAAAAGTGCTTAAAAGCACTTACTTTTAGGCAAAAAGTACAAAAATAAGCCGAAAGCCAAAAGTTGGATATTACCAACTTATAACTTTTGGTTTTTAGCTTAAAAGCTAGTACTTTTTATAAGTCAATCCAAACATCCTCTTAATCATGGCTAAGTAAATAAATGCATGCACGTAGGACAAATATCTCGAATTAATGTAAATATCAAGTGCGGATAAGTTTTTATTATCTCAGAAGAATAGCTTCAATATTATGAGAAATATAGATATCTGCATACACTCCAAGGTTTCAACTCAAATATATAATATCCAGCAATGTGGAGCAACATCAAGCTATTTCTTAAATAAGTGAAAACATAAAAAAGATTAACCATAGTGATACAAAAGCTCAAGGAGTACAATATTCATCTGTATCATAAACAAGCAAATTTTCTATGGTATATTGGTCAGATGAGCAATTAAGGAAATTGGTAGACCTTCCATTAGGAATCCACACCAAAATTATGTTAGCATCAAGGCAAAATTTCTGCAACTCCACATGCAGAATTACTGACTTTTAGGCTTTGTTGATTTGCCATTTTGCTACTTGTAGTGGTTGGGATCTTCTTTGCTCTGGATAAGAGGGACGCCATCTTGGCGCCACACTATTCTCTCTTCACATAATGCTGCCGCTACTTCCACGTATAGTTTATGCTCCTGCTAAGGAAGTGTGTTAGCAGGGGCGTATGTAGCTCTATAACACTGGGTTCAATTGAACCCATTTCGATGCGGAGTATAAATTTATGTACAAAAATCACTATAATCGCAATAAATTATAGATATGAACCCATAACTTTAAGGATATAATGAGTTCAGTAGTAAGAACCTTAAATGTTGAACCCACAAGAGTTAAATCCTGGATCTGCCTCTGTGTGTTAGTACAAAATGTTGCAGGGAAAAGAAGGAAATGGACAAGCGATGGAACAAAAGTGGTTATTAATGCATGCCAAATAATTAAGCAGAAATGCAAGCCACAGAGTGCAAGTAGTAGCAATATTGAAAAAAAGGGAAGATAATGATTATTATTCATGATCTAAGACCATACATGTTGATTTAAAAAAAATAAAACAAAGTTGCTAATCGTTTGTTTAATGGATACACAGATTGACAGGATATGCTGAATTAAAACACTGAAAAAGCGCACATGAAGAAATCCATAAGGAACGAAGCAGTCTCCTATTAATATAGGAACCCGGCGTGGAACATAAGGTAGGATCTAAAAAGAAGGGGAAAGAAAATAAAAGATTGAGAACTATGACCGATAGGTTATTTTTAAGTGCAACATGAAATGTTCAACTTGATTGTGACAACAATGATATTAATCATAACAAGAAATGTGTAAAAGAAATTCATGACCTCCTGAAGAACCCTTGCTGCAAGTGTATCTGCTGTGTCGTTAGCCAGCACAGGCACAACCCGTTGAGCAAGAATACGTCCAGTGTCATAATGCTCATCAACAAAATGGATTGTTGGACCAGAATACCTACAGTTTGGCAAAGAGCAGATAGAGACAAAAATGAGTTGCTTATGCTTAGAACTTGAAACCTGTAGACACGTGTAGGAGTTAAAATGAGGATCCAAAGCATTAAAGACAGAGAAAACTAAACCCATCCAACAGCAGCTACTGAGATCAAAGTTAAGTGCTTAATGCTGTAAAGGGTGGAGGACATAAACTAAAATATGCAGCAACTAGGTCACAGGCAACAATACAACAACAACAAAAACGACGACCCAGATAAATCCCGCTAGTGGGGTCTGGGGAGGGTAGTGTGTATGCAGACCTTACCCCTATATCGGCATGAAACAATGAAGTAAACAATTAATCACCAATTCTGGTCAATTATGATAGGAATTGTCATTAACAATTCATGACAATTCACTGGAAATTCCAAGATAATGCAGTAAGGACACTCAACTCAAAATAGGGGTCTAAATCTGCATGGTAAAAACTAGCAATAGAAAGGTTTGCTTGGAGAATGTGAATCCTCAACATTTCAACAAAAAGATGCTACATTGTCTGATAAGATCTTAAATATGTTCCGAGATCACATTTCACATGCATTTAAATTTAATAGAAATAGAAATAGATACTTCAAATCCGAAAGCAATGGGTTAAGCGATTGTTGGTATTTAACTTACAGAGAAAACACAAGTCACATAGAGTATTAGCTCTTCAACTAAGCACTCAATTTACAATTTACAAGCTGAATGGTGGTACTATTTCTTGTTCAGCAACAAGCTAATGTGCTTTGGTTTTGCCTCCTGCAAAAGCAGAGCTAATTTTGCATGTTTTGAGATAATTGGACAGGAAAATTCATGCGCTCTATAGACTTGTGAAGGAGCGGATATCTTCCATCAGCAGTTCTTACAAAGATGTGTTTCTAAAGAGTGAATACAAATTTATCTCATGAGCTCATTCCCTTTATGCAGGGATTCCAAGAAAGAGCTAGTCATATCATATGCACTTATTTGAATTAGGGACGAAAACTAAAGTGTGTTTGAACTTGGATTGACTGCTCTTTATTGAATTTCAGGGCACTTTCCAGGCATATATTTAATTGATCGAAGAGAAAAACTACGAACAACCAGCTTCTGACATCTACTTTTTTTAGTCTCTTATATTATTGACTTGGGTAGCATTGTACACTGAAGTTGGAGTTAGCAACCAAGGGGGATCCATATTACGAGCATTGATGTGGCTGCTTTCGACTTCCACTATAAACGTATAGCTGTAAATTGTTAAAATGTATCTGTGTGTGCGTCTAAAGTAAAACACCTTTGCTAATCCTATTTCTGGACCTGCCTTTGCTAACAACTCGACATCATCAATGGACATAATAAGTCCAATTATATACAGACACGCTTTCAAATATGGTACAGCTGAGCACTGTTCAGATCAGAAAAAAAAAAGCTGTTGCAGATCGATGGATTAGAAGTCTCAATTTAGAGAACCCC